CTGCCTGGACATGAGAGTGTACTATGTGTCTTGAAGATTGTTTGGAAAATGAGGAAGTATCTGAACATATGATGAGAGGTTTTATTTGAAAATTCAAAATAGAGACCATGTATCTGGTGGATTGTTTCAACCCCTATATCAAATTGCAATGAAATCATAGTATTTTGCTTGGTCTTCATATTCATGGATGAGATTCTAAGTTTTCTTGAAAGTTACTACATGGTTAAAAAAAAAAAGAAGTGTGTCAAAGTAAAATAAAACTTGTACTAAAGATAAAAAAGTAAAATGAAATTCTGTTAACATTTGGTTTTCTTACATAATCCAGATGTACTGATGAGCTGCCAGTGTATTGTTTCATGGATATGAGAATCAATAGTTGTTTTTTAGATGCTTTTAATACAAAATCGACCAGTTGTATGTGTTATGCATTCCCCAAACAAAGGTTACCTTGAGCATAGAGTAACCTCTATTTTTTCATAGATATAATTGGAAATAATTCAGATATTTATTTGAGATTTTACTTTATTAGTTTGTTACAGTAATTACTTAAAACCACATATGTATTTATTGACTTAAATATATTGCTTTTTCTAATCTTATATTTCAATTTTTTACATGGATGTTCAACATCAGTATTTTTCATTACTAGAGCCATTCTTTGCATCCTTTAATGAGGTTTCAGAGCACGTCTTTTATATCTAAACTCACTTCTGGAAAGACATTACAACTGGAAATTATATCCTAAGCAGTAAGAGTGTATTTAGAAAACATTAGGAAATTATTTTTGAGACTTTTTTTTCTTCCCTGCGGTATGTATTTGTGATGTCTTCAGTATAACTACTCTTTGTATTTCTGTTAGCATGCTCTTTAAATATTTTTATTACAGTAGTTGCATAGCATGTGGTTAATGGTATAGGTTATGGAGCCAGTCTGTCTAGATTCAGATTTCAACCCTCTACTTACTCCATCAATGCCCTTGGCCTAGTTATCTGGTTTTCCCTTGCGGAGTAAAAATAGTACCAACCTCATAGAGTAGCTTTGGGAATTCAGTGAGTTATTCCATGTGAATCGCTTAGAAGAACCATGTAAGCATTTGCTAAATAACGTAAGTATTTGATAATAAAAAAAATAAGCATTTAGCAATAAATGCATTACACATACTCCCAGAAATAATTTCTAGAATAAAGATGGAAGGAAATGAATTTTTGAAGTGACCTCTATAAAGCTCAATTATAGAAACTGTTGCAATTTTTTCAGGTTAATATGTCTTCTTCAATAGTCTTAGATGGAAACTTTCATCTACTATTATTTTAAACAGGTTTATTGAAATATAATTCCTATGCCATAAATTTTGCCGTGTGGAAATTTATAATTCAGTATATTTTAGTATATTCATAGAGTTGTATAGTTATTACCTCTTTGGAATTGCAGAATATTTTTATCACCCCCAAAAGTATTCCATGCTCTTTTGGAATCATTCCCTATTCCTTTCCTTTCCCTTAGCTTTTATATGCACTAATGAATTTTGGATTTCTGTTTCTATGGATGTGCCCATGTTTGCCATTCAATATAATAGAATCATACAAGATTTAGCATACTATGACTTACTTCAAAAGTTCACTTAGCAAAATGTTTTCAGGGTTTCTCAGTGTTGTAGCATGTGTCAGAACCTCATTTATTTTTGTTAAAAAATATTCCACCCTATAGCTGTCTTTCCTTCTGGTTCTCATAAAAAGGTATGTTCTAGTAACAGGAGCACCACAAATCTACCTACTTTGAATTATAAGCTGATTGTAAACATGTTTAGTTACCTGAAAGATATGTCAGGTAATGTGCTCATTTGTGGGTATTCACATTATCACCTCTCCAATAAGGTTTTCTATTCTTTAATAAGAAGTGGCTCATGAACCTAACAGTCCCTTTTAATGTTGTGTTAGTGTTTGTGATCACCAGACTCAGGGTTCATGCAGATACTCAGCTGACACCCTGAGAGCACGTTGGGTTCACCTGATGAGTCATCTACAGGACATGCCATTTCTCAGTATCTTATTTGGTAATCACTAATATAAATGGTACAACTGAGTCATATATCCATTCTGGGAGATTCTTTATTAACACAGTGAGTATTTGCCCTCTGTGACTTGTTTACAGTCCAAAAGTCCACCCTGAGTTTACTCAAATCAGTGTGCCATTGTGGATTACTCAAGAAGTGTGCTCGATCTGTTTTCTCATCACTTTCTCTTTTATGAACTTCACTCATATCAACATTTACTATTGAAATATAGATACTTGAAAGAAGAAATAAATATCTTCAACTTAATGCTAATAAATTTAAAATAAACTGCAAGAGGAGATTGCTACATTATTTCACTTGTACCCATGGCTTAATTATATTCTCATGCTGTTTGCCCTCTCAGCTTCTTTGAGCTCCCAACATCTGTATTTGACATCTCCTTTTAGATGCAATAAAGGTGTCTCAAATGGAGGCAGTGAAAATCTAATTTTCAGCTCAGTATTCCCTCAGAGTGAACAATAAAATCACCCATTCAGGTACCAGTCAAAGATCTACAATTCATCTTTGACATTCTTTTTCTGACCTCTTATACACAATCTATTACAACACATTCTTGATTTTACCATATAAATTCACATCATTCTGAATCTTTTACTATATCGCTACTGCTTGCCATCTGGGCATATCCAGACCACACCAGTGGCTTTCTGTTTGGTTTTTTAGAATCCACTCTTCTGCTGAACAGTTCCTCTAAGCAGGAGCTAGTGATTTAAAAGTGTATAGCACTGTTTTCCTTTAAGTGGGTCATAAATGTACAAAGGCAAACTTAAATGTACAACATCTGGGTTGTCAAAGGCGCCCTTCAGCCTCTCAAATCTTCCTTGCACAGGCAGAAGCTCACATTCCCTTCAGACACACTGTGTACACATGTCAGCAAACTACTTATTGGATGACAAATCAAATCCTTAAACTGGCCTTTCAAGATTTAATAAACTTGCCTGAGTATATGTCTACCTCTGCATTTCTCAACATGTTCTCTAGTTCCCTATCTTCCAGCCACATGGTGCCCAAATATTTTATTTTTCACCATTTCTTGATTTTTCCAAACTCTTTACACATGCTATGCACATTTTTGTCCTGAAAGCTCTTTTTCTCTTCATTTAGCAATATCCTACCTGCTCAGCTTGAATATCCCAAGGTAAACACTACTATCTCAGGGGAATCATTACTGAACCTGCAATTCAAATAAGGCCCCTCTGAAAGAGAATTCATGGTTTGCCTTCAGAGTATTTGTCATTTTGTGTTTCTGTGTTTAGGATTAGTTTGGTTGATGTCTTTCTCCTTTGCAAGGCTGTAAGTACTTTCTGGCCAATATTTTGCTCAACATTATTCTCCTGGAATTAGCACACAGTGTCGAATATTTATGGAGTAAATGCTCAAGAGGCCTGGTTTGCCTTTGAGAGATATATCTCTCAATGTAATCAATCCATTTAGTTGTTTTCTTTATATGATCACTCCTCCATAACTTCCACCTTTTGAGGCTTTATTATAGTTTTCCTTAGCAATTCTCAAAAAGCAGCAGGAAGTCGTCAGTATGGTAAGAAAAAGTAAAAAGTAGTGAAAAGTGTGGAAGTACAGGGAAAGACTGATCCTTGAGCTCCTATAGGTAGGCGTGTGTTTGAGCTACTCTGCCAGTCCGTGGGGGATCAACTTCTCTATGGGAGAGATGATTTCTCTCTTCACAGACTCTCCCAATATAGGGAAATTCCAGCTTATAGGAATTTGCTCTCTTTGGTCTACAAGGAAAGAAATTGTGAGCAGTCTTGCTCATTACTGTATCCTCAGAATTTTCTACTGCATCTGACAAATAGGCATGAAATAGATATTCGCTAACATGAAATTTAAACAGAATGTGACTACATTCTGTATCAAATTAGAAGTAATGTAGGAAAAGGAATAAATAATGATTCAGGGAGACTCTGGTACCTTACATCCCTAATGTCAAATAATAGGAAGGCATCAACTATTACTTGTGCTCCTAGTTTTGGCTCTCATTTCTCTAATAAATGTACTAGATTTCAGCATCACACATTCTGTTTACTTTGTAGGTAAACATCATCTTATAATAGGGAGATTTTGTTAGGTCAGTTACTAAAACTTGTCCCTAAAGTTGCAGTATATTCATTGTGGCACTGAAATGGAAATAACAATTTCTTTAAAGTTTAAAAAACAAAGTAAGGTAAAGAATGGGAAGTTTTTAAAGCTTTGATTAAATCAGTTTGTACATTTGAGTAGCTTTGAATATATAGTATCTGAGTTCTCTTACTATTTGTTATGGCTTAAAATGAGAATTATGTCCCACAGTGAATAGTCCTGACTTTCACATTGGTCCTGATGAAAGGTTCACTCACTGGCTGTGGTTTAACTTTACTTTCTGTGCCTTTCCATTGTGGGAGGCATCTTCATCAAAAGTATGCATAAAGAATGCTTTCATTTGAAAATTAGTAGAACATAAATTTTGGAAGCAAAGGAAAATGAAATTGCTAAGAAGTAAATATTTGTAAAATGCCCTAGGTGGTATTTTTTTTTTGTAAAATATATAAAAGATGGGCTTTTCTGTTTTCTTTATGAAAATATAATCCAAACATTTTTGGCTTTTCATTGGGGGTATCGTCTCAGTACTTTGAAGTTAACTTATGTTATCATGGGTTTATTCCTGCAAATTTTAACCCATAGTTTGATTATGGAGAGAGGGTTAGGGTAAGATTCCTCAAACGTGTCAAAAGAGTAAATTACTTCTTAAAACAGTTATATAGTATAATTATATAATCTATTATTTTATAGATAATCTATAATCTATCATCCCTTTGAAATCTATCCTTTTGTTTACTTCTCATTTGTATAATAAAATGGTAATTTCCAATGATTGGTATCTTTAGTTTTCTAATATGTTTTTATTTTTTTCCCATTATATTTGAACATTTTTCTCTTGACTTCAAAACAAACATACAAATACTAAACAGTAATTGGAGTTCACCAAAAAGTTAGGACATATTCCTCTTTGGTTACTGAGTTAAATATATATGTCTTTAAAACTTTGAAAAGAGTAGGCAACTCTACAGTGTAGGTAATAATACTGGAAAGGTTATGTTCACAAGCTTTCTGTCCATAGAACAAAGACATCACAATCTAAAAATGAAGTGAGAGTGATGAACTTCAATGACAACAATAAAAGGTTGGGGGCCAGGAGAGTTGTTCATTTAATTGAGGGCACTACCTTCTCCTCACTCAGGTATAGGATATTGTTCCATTTTAAGCCATTGAGAGAGAGGGGCTTTATATTTTAAATTGGAAGCTAATAAATGCTCTTTTTCTCATTAACACACATGACCTCTATGATTTATGCTCTCATGCACACTGGCCCAGTTTCTCAGTTTCTGTTAATGATGTTGAGAACCTCTGCTTAACATGAATTATTTCCTTACCAATTCCCTGTAAATTCACAATAGATGTTAATTGTAATGATCTGCCTGTCTTGTTCAGGAAAGAAAAATATCAAAATGAACCTAGCCTGTTGTGCTTTTCTGATGTTCTTCAAAATGTGTATAAATTGATTCCATTTATGAGAATTATGAAGGCAGGCAGCTTTGTCATGCTTCTTGTGGTAGTGATAATGTATGTGTTTCTTATTTCAGATAAGCTATTTGCTGTTCAAATAACAATTAGTAGAACTGGAATGAGAAAGACAGATAAGGATAACTGATAATTAGGTTTAGAGGACTCTGTCCTATTTTATGTTCTTAATTTATGGTACATTAGATATTTTCATATAGTTTTGCTTTCCTTGACACAGATGAATATGAAAGTTGAATTTAACTCTAAATTCATATTAAAGTGCTAGAAAATGATAAATACATTCCAAATTTTGAAATTTGTATGATTAATGGATTGAGTTAATATTTAGTTTTTTAAATTAATGAATAAGAGACTTTAGGGGAAAGAGGTTAGCCAGCAATACAGCTCAGGACAAGCTGATGTTGTAGTTATTCTTTGAAAGAGTTGACATGACTGTAGGATTCTCATTACTGCAGTGACTATAAAGATGTTTATTATAGTCCTCATCTTGATCAAGAGGTGATAATTTTAGCACCTGATAACTGGGCAAATGAATAAGATAGATTTTATAAACTCATAGAATTATAGAGTACTAGAGCCATTAGGAGATTGTCCAATTCAATCCCTGCTAATATAGGAAAGGAAACTAAACCCCAACAATATACAGTACTTTGTTATATACATTTTTCCAACTTACTTAGATTTCAGTTTTCTTATTTCTTGCCTTGGTGACCTCTTTCTCTTTTTATTTATTCTTAGTAGACTATAGATTTTTTCTTAAATCAATAATTTCCCAAAAATTATAAGAATAATTGTTATGTAATATAGATTTTCTCTTGTCTTTATTCTGAGCTTCTAGCATGGATAGGCGTGTCTCAGTTATTCCTGAGCCCAAGTGTGGACCTGAGATTATGCTGGTAAGATGACTCCTTCTTAGCATCTGATGATGGCCGGTCACGATGGAAAGACAAACTATGTGGACAGAATGTTGGGGCTTGGAACCAAGTGATACCAGCCCAACCTCCCATCATCTGAGGAGAAACACCTGGAGACTGAGTCCAATCACGTGACCAAAACTTCAGGTAGATCTTGGATGTTGAAGCTCCGTGGATCTGTCTGGTTGGGGCACACAATAATATGTTGGTAGGAGAATGTACCTTGATTTGCCTCGTGAAGGTATAGAAGCTCTATATTCAAGATTCTCCCAGACCTTATCCTATACGTCTTTCTTTAGTTAGATGATTTGGATTGTATTTATGAAATAAATGTTTATCACAAGTGTAGCCCTTTTCTGCATTCTGAGTATCATTCTAGTGATTTATCAGACTTGAAGGTGGTCACTGGAACCCCCAGATTTGTAGGCATTTTGCTAATAATGGTTTGTCCTTAGGTTGTCTTCTGAGGTGAGAGCACTTTTGTGAAGTACTGAGCCCGTAACTTGTGCAGTTTGCATTAACTCTAGGTAGTTAGCAGGAGACTAGAAATGTATTGCAATATATTAGATTGGGATTGGCGTCAGAATACAAGCATTTGAATATATATGCAGTGCATTTCCATTGTACTCTATGTGACATTTTGGGTATAGAGACACTGGTGAAGTGTGAGTCCAGTTGGCTTTGAATTGTTTGTAGAGCATTAACTTGAAATGCCTATTTTCCCCTTGTGGATGACACTGCTTTCTCTAATAAGAAACTAATGCTCCAAAACCTAAATTGTAAAACCTGAAATATATTTTAAGATTATTTTCTGTGCTTGAGTAAGTCTCCCTCATTTTTCCACTTCTTATAACAAGGCTGAGTGTTTTATTCCACAGTCTTGCTACTCACATTGCTCTTTTTAGGCCAAATTCACTGGTATCACTGAGGGACTTTTTAAAATGAAGACTTAAGCATAATCTGTATGTTAGTAAACTCCCAAGTGATCCATGTGCATATTAATGTATGAGCAACTTTATTCTAAGATTTGGGAATAAGATAGATTTATATTAAACAATCCAAATCTTTCATTTGAAAATCTAAAGATGAAAATTCTGGCTTGGTTTTGGTCTGTTATTTTCCTTGAAAATCAAACCCAATCTCTTATGGATGAATTCTTGTGAATCTACTCACTGTAATGTCACTGTGTGCTACATGGCTTTTGACATTTGTTAGCACAGTTAATGTTTTAATATTTTCCACAGGTATTAAAAATTGATCTCTAGTTCATGGTTCACTATAGTGAATTGAACACATGTGGTTATGACTCTCCTTGAAATGTCATTAAAATATCCATAAGGAAATAAATAAAACTCCATCTGCCCACAGTGATAAAGAGAACAGGAAGGGTCCTATAGTAGACCAGAGATGTTTGTAGAATTAAAGTGCATAGAGAGTTTGGGAATGTATTGTAAGTACATGGGACATCAAACAACTGAAAATACAAAAAACAAGGAAGAGATTATCTGTAAGAAATATGAAATTGTATAAAAATGACATGGAATTATAGCATGACATATGGCTCAGCTCTAAAAATTCATAATAATGCATAAATGAATAATGATTTAACAAAAAGTTTTGATGAAATTGTATTTTGAGGAATGATTGGAAGAGAAAATGTGGAGGGGTATAAGGGAACTAACTTATTCTTTCTAGTATTCTTTTTAAATAAATTAATTAAATATACAGATATGAAATGTGGTAGTAACATCAGAAAGAATTGTGATGTTACTGTTTTGTTTTTTTTCTTTTTGCTGTACCCCATTTCCAGAGTATTTGGCTATTGATAACATAAGATGGAGATCATTGCTGTTAGAAGATCTGAGAGTCCTGATTCTACCACCAATAACCACTTTTTAATATAAAAGTGTATACTAAGATATGGTTCTTTTCATTTCACTGCCCAAGTTCTGTGCTATATCTCAGTGATGTTTTCCTCTATTACAAGCAGAGTAGTCAGGAAGAGACTGTTTCTGACATCTCTCTTGAAGGCATTAATTTTAATTTGTTTTGTCCCTTAGTCATTTACTAAAGTGGCTTCAGAATTACCCTTTTTGGGGGAAGAGTAAGACAATTTTTCTTCTTAAGTGTCCAAACAGTCTTAATAACCTGGAGAACAGTAAGGAATTATCATTAACATGAATGAAGAGCAATTGTTCCTTTAGTTTAGGCAGATGGAAATGTTTCCAATTCTCACTCTGTGGCACTTATGAGAGCTTCAGATATTTCCAAAATTGCAAAAAGCCATATGTCCAAAATGGTTTGGCCCTGTAAACTTATTTAACTATGCCTGATTATATTTCTTAGCTTTCTCATGATTTGTTACAATTTTTTATTAAGTTCAATAGCAAATGTAATAGTAAATGAAGTACATTGTATTGAAAAGTATACAACTACTACTTTGAATTTTATTTAAATTTCAGTACACTGGAATTTGAATATGTAGGAAGAAAAAAATCTAGCATTGACTTATCTGGGCTCCAGAATATATGATCTCCAAAATGTTCATATTAGGCAGGTCATTGCTACTTTATCTTACCTCTGTCTTTGCCAACCATTTTTTTTTATAGGGCATTAGATTAGAGATCAGGTGATAATAGACACAAGCCAACATTTAATGGGAGGAAGTAAGCTAAGATTTCAAGTAGACAGAAGGATTTGTCCTTCCAAATCCCCTTGAGTCTATTTCTTTCTCTCTCTTTCTGCCAACCCAAATATATCTTCTGTTACTTTTTTCCTACCTTGCCTTTCAATCTCAATTTTTAGATTGGTTCCCCCTCTTCCCCTCCCTCTCTCTCTCTCCCTTCCTTCTTCTTTCTTTCTATTTTTCTTTCTTTCCACTCCTATTCAGTAAGCTCCAAGAATATGCCATAAGTTAGGAACTGCATTGTAACTGTAACTGCGGTTTAGTAGATGAGACAATGGAAGGTTCACAAGTAACTGTAGAAGTAAAATTAGAATTTTGGTTTTTGAACTAGTGAAGCCAACACATAGGCAGTCTTGTCAGGGAAAGAATGATCCTAGTTTTTCTTTTTGCTAGGGAATTATAAGATGAACCAAATTTCCAGCAGGTAAAATATATCTTCATTGGTGTTCACTTTTTCTAGTTTAAAATAGAATTTTTATTCAGAAGAAATTTTTTAACTTGAGGAAATGGAGATTTATTGCTATTTTTATAGCTAATAGGCACTAGTTAGTGTGTCTTCTGTTACCAAAAAAGCCAGCTTTCTAGGTGGGAAAGATGATTAATTTGCATATCAGGATTAGGTTAGTTACTAGTGTCTTGAATTTTACCAAGATAGGTAAGCTGCTATTAAATTGTTAGAGCATATCATATTTCTCTTCTTCCTCATAGTTACCTCCATCATAGTTAATTCTCTAAATTCTCATAAAGAAGATGCATGTGTGATCTGTTTTTGCATATCCTGAACTTCTAACATTTTAGTTTCTTAGTAAATAATGAACAGAGAAATATCAACATAGTTCAGTCTCTGGCCATCTTCATAGTTCATTACCTGTTCATAGAATCATTTTAAGATTTTTGTCTCTAAGTAATAGTGCTACTGAGTATCCCAGAGCAGTAAGATTGTGTCTTATTTTAGTTCTTTTATTAGCTCTGTTCCAAAATATTTCTTCACCATTAAATATAAATAGGGCAAAGATAAAAATTGCAGGTTTATCCTTTGTACTGGTAAAATACTGCGGATCAAATGGACATCACATAAATTTGTTCATTTATTCTCATACAAATTTTTAAATGAAAAGATCAATAGAGAAGATTTAATGAATCATGTCAAATAAAAAACATTTACCAGTATGGCACTTTCTGCTATACTTGTAGTCTTTGAGTACATCATAATATTCAGTATTTTTCCTTTCTGGATAATAGATGCAGGCCATTCTCTTTTGCCTTAAAAAGTTCTACGAGTAAGTTATATCACTTGGAGGTACACAAATGCCAGGCTATTTCAGGCAAGTGACTAGATAATTTCTGGGATTCTCGATTGGGAAAACAAATAACTATACTTTCAGGTTCATGAGAACCAAGGGTGACTTCAGCTGAGTTAAAATAAAAAATTGGAGCATACATTTGTAAAACATAGTGTCTAATCTTTTTCAGCTATGTTTTCACTGTTCTTCCAGGACTATGTTGATTTATTAAGTCAATTTGCAAGGTTTTATCTGTAAGTTACACCTAACATAGAACAAATGATATCATTCGTTTGTCACTGGATGGCTATTAAAATTTAAAATGGGTTAAGCAGTTATATAAGAAAGTGAATTATACTGCCAATGTAATAAAAAAGTAGCTATCACAACTAAACAAAAAGGCACACTATTTCCTTCTTCCTTTGATCCTGTGGCCCAAGGAGTTAATGTAGGGCATGAAATGTCAGTGCTGGAGGGATGCCAAGTCACTGGGAGAAATGAGTGCCTTTGGTTATTTTCTTTATGAGACTGTCACCCTACTTGTGCTAGTGCTGAACAGACAAAAGCAGCAGAAAACCTTTAGCTAAAGGGTATCTTGTTTCTTCCAGTAGAACAAAAGCTTTGAGATTACTCTAGGCAATATAACATTATCCACACTTGCTAAATACATTGCAAAGAATGAACAGAATACCTTTTCTGTATTTTGAAGTAGGTTTATACAAAGGTATAAGGAATTCATCTGTATTCCAACTGAGTGAGGTTTTTATAAGTATACTTTCTTAACTCATTCATGCTAAAATTGTCACCAAAGTACATTACTTCTGTTCCTCTTAGATAAATTGTTGGAATACCTTTAGTTTTAAGCACTTGAACTGCTTTTGATGCTGAGTATTTTTCAGAGCATTATGTTTATAATCTAATATCTTTACCCCTCAAATCAAATATTTTTTCTATCATTTGTTCAACTTTTTGGCTCATCAAGATTAATTACATTTGCCTTTTCTTACTTTGAGCAATATGGTCTAAAAGTAAGAAACCAAAAAACCTTGATCACTACGTATCTGAAGCAGTATGCCTGTGGGGTGTGTAAGTTTTGTTTTACATGATGGAACATCATGATTCTGGCTTAACATCTTTTATTTAAAATAGTGAAATGAATCATCGGCAAGGAAATAAAC